TTCTTCACAGCATTTTAGAACATATGTTAAATGATCTAAACATGAATCAAAAGACGTTCCAAAAACTGAGAAGTTATCCATAAAAACTTTTATTCCTTTCTCAATAAAGTCGCAGAAAATAGACATCATATATCTTTGAAAAGTTGCAGGTGTGTTGCATAAATCAAATGACATTCTTCTAAAAGCAAAAGTCTCATAAAGACTGATAAATGTCATCTTTTCTCGATCATCGGGAGCAATTGGTATTTGATGGTACCTAGAATATTCATCCAAAAAGCAGAAATAACAGTGCCTAACTAGTCTATCCAACATTTGGTCTAGGAAAGGTCAAGGAAAATGATCTTACATAGTGGAGAAGTTTAATTTTCTATAATCAATACATATTCATCATCTAGTAACTTGTCTTGTTGGAATTAATTCATTTATTTCAGTAATCAAAAGAGGAAAGTGATATTTCCCATTAGCTACTGTCACTCATCCTTTCTTAGGAACGCGGTGAATAGAACTAACCCAAGAACTGTTTGAAATTGGATAAATAATTCTCGTATCTAACCACTTTAGAATTTCTTTCTTTACCACTTCTTTCATAATTAGATTTAATCTTATTTAAGGATCTGCCCTAAGTTTATGGTTTTCTTCCATTAAAATTTTGTGCATACATAATGAAGGACTGATTCCCTTAAAATCAGCTAATGTCCACCCAACTATTTTTTTTATAACTTCTCAATGTCTCCAATAATTTTTCTTCTTGTTCTACAGTTAAATCTGTGGATATAATAACTAGTAAAGTTGACGAGTTCCCCAAAAATGCATATTTTAAATGAATAGGGAGAACTTTCATCTCAAGTTCAGGAGGTTTTTCAATAGAAGGAATTAGAGGTTTGTTATTCTCAGTAGTATCTAACATTTGATTTATCCTCTAAATCACTTCTAGTTTCGTTTTTCAGCTCTTCCTGATCTAATATGACTTCATCTTTTTGATCTAATATGACTTCACATCTTTGTTGAAAATGATTAACAATCATATAATCAATAATGCCCATTCTATAGCATTTTCCATTCTTTCCTTTATTAGGATACTTCATTGATTTAAGAACATTAAATGTAACTTCTTGATCATTAACTCTCATGGTTAGTTCTTTTTGAACATCTATCATTGCGCGTCTGGTTACAAGGAAATGTTTCCCCAAAATAATAGGAATTTCTTTATCTTTTTCCATGTTCAACACAATAAAATCAACAAGGAAGATAAATTTATCCACCTTAACAAATACATCTTCTATAACCCATTTAGGATAAGTACTAGATCAATTAGCTAACTGAAGGGTTACAGTGTGGGAGAAATCTCTCATAAGTCTAAACTTCTAAAGATTAATAATGACATGAGATTAATGCTTGCTCCTAAATCGCATAAAGTTTTTCCACAAAATTTCTCTCCAATTGCATAAGGTATGGTGAAGCTGTCAGGGTCTTTAAGCTTTTGAGGAAACTTTTTCTGAATTATTGCACTACAATCTTCACTAAGTGCAACAGTTTTATAATCTTCAAACTTCCTTTTTTGTTTTAAAATTTCTTTCATAAATTTGGCATAACTACGCACTTGTTCTAAAGCCTTTGCAAAGGGAATGCTAACTGTAAGCTTTTTAAATATCTCGAAAATTTTTGAAAATTGTTGATCAAATCTTTCCTGTCAAGTTTTTGAGGAAAAGGAAGTGTTGGTTTCTAAATTAATCTAGTTGAAGAGACAAGTGGTTCTACTTCCTTAGAAATAGTTTCCTCAGATTTTTAGTTTCTTCAATTTATCTCTCAACTTCAATTTCTTTTTGAACTCCAACATTTAATTTTTTTTACTCCTAAGTTGGACAACTTTAACTTGTTCTTATTCTTTACTTTTGTCTTTCAGATTTATCTCGACATTACTAGGAAGTGTTCCCTAGGGTCTAGAGAATTCATGATGGTGAGTAATTAATTATCGTCTTAGCATTGTATAAGAGTTCAACACATACTGAGATAAAAGAAAAAAACTGGTAGAGGCACCAAAATTTATTGTGGAAAACTCAAAAATGAAAAAAAATCATGAGGCTTTGCCTAATCAAATAATTCACTATGAATTGGTGATTACACGTACAAAATTTTATCCCACATCCATGAATGGACTACACTGTTCTCTAAGGTATTATGCTCCTTGTACAATAATAGGGAGTGGCTATAGTTGGAAAAAGCGATTGGAACCAATACACCGGCTTCGAGGTGCATAGCTACATGATTAGGTGACGCACTGCTCCGTCGGGTGTTATGTTGTTCTGCAATGCACGATGGGATTCTGCAGCACAAGTTGTGACTCGGTAAAAAATTTCACTATAAGGTGTGGGTGCGGTCGTTGGTGGTCAACGATGGTCGGCGACTACAAGAGCCGGATGAATTCGTCGGATATTCAGTGTAAAAATGATGTTGGGCTTCAACTCTTTTTTCTCTAAGTTTCAGTCTTCCTTTAGCTCAAAGTCTAGGTCCCATTTTAAGAGTGAAGTAGGGCTCTATTTATAGAGCTCGTGTTACAAATAATGAAGGAATCTGAATCACTCTGATCGGACGGCCTGGGGAGGTTCCATCAATTGGACGGTGTTCTACAGACATTTAAGTGTCTTAATGATATCATAATTGAGTGATCTTAGGCTCGTTGTATTTGAATTGTCAAGATGTTCGATTTAACTATAAGCATGCAAGATTTAGAATTTATTTGACCTTCCAATTATGCAGTGAAAGCTTCCTAAAGTAGTTTAAAAGCTTAATTTGACTCGGATTAAATCGATTTTATATCATAGTGTATGTTTCATCGTGTCGGTCAGTTTGACTATATGTTTACTAAAATCAAAGCTCTAAATAACCTTTAATTAAAATTTGAACATTTCATGCTCAAAAAATCACCTTGAAATTTACGTCATGCCTTGAAATTCTTGTCGGATGACAAAAGTTTGTTGATGGTGTATCAACATCCTTATTTGATACCTCTAACATTTTAGAACCATGGAAAAATGGGAGATTCACATACATACTACACAATTCTTATATATTTATATATCTAACATTAAAAATTTAATATTTATTTATTTGTTTTGTTTATTTATTTATTTGAATTATATATATTTTTTAATATTAAATAACTTTTAAGAAAATTATTATTTATTTTTAATAGTCGCAATATTTAAAGGAAAAAACTTCTTTCCACCCATTAACTTCATAAACATTTTTTTAAAAAACCCGCAGTCATCCTAAAAAATTTTAGGTCAATCTTTCCGTGAGTCAGATCGTAAGCATAATTTGGGCATATTTATAAAGCAAATGGTGAGCGATACATAAACAAAAAAAAGGATTAAAATATAATAAAATAATTCAAAATTAAATAACATTTCAACTGCAATTATTAAAGAAATGCATTAATAAAGAAAGTAGGTAAAATGCATACATGCAAACGATTTGCATTGAAAATATAAATTTACGTGATAAGTTTTGTGCAAAATATTTTACATGAATAAAATTAATAACTCATTAAACAAAAAAATACAAAGAATATGAACTCTAAACTAACCACAAATTACAAAAATAAAACATTATAATGATTAGGACTGCCAAAACGGCTTGTTGTTCGCGAACAACTCGTGTTCGGCTTGCTAAGAATCTCGTGTTCAGCTCGTTCGCTAAGTCAACGAGCCGAGCACGAACAAAATTCATCAATATATGTTTTTTCATGTTCGGCTCGTTTTGACTCGAAATACTACTAATCAATTACACACACACACACATACACACATATCTTTAATTACACACATACACACATACTCGAAATATATGTAAAAAACTTAATTCACTACAAGACTATAATGATTTATAAACAATTATAAGTATTAATTAAGAAAATAGAATAAAATTTATTAAATTAGATTCAAAATGATGTTTTAATATAAATAATAATTTTTAAATCTTGCCCCAATCCTTAATATCTTATGGCTATCTGATTAGGGTTATCATAACGACTTTATTCGTGAACGGCTCCTGTTCAACTCGCTAAGCAAACGAGCCGAACACGAACACACCTTTTGAGCTCGAAATATAAACGAGCCGAAAATGAGTTGAGCTTGGGCTCACTCGTGTTCGGCTCGTTTACACCCCTAATAATGATCATCACGTCCTTGAATTACCCACAAGCAAGCAAAACAATTCTTTTAGGAAACCACTCGATTCGCGTGTACTAATTATGGAAAAGGTTCATTTCATTTTTTTCAAGTTAGAACGGTGGTATTATGTGATATAGAACATTTGGGTGATATAAATGTGAAAAATAAAAGTTAGTGCCAGTTATAAAAATTCATGGAATTTTTTTTTGAAAGAATCCAACCCGATCCGACGATTCTTCAATATTTACATATCTAACACGTAAACTCGACATTTAAAGCTTTGACATCACATTAACAATATCACTATAACAAACAAACAAACTTTTTAAAAGTGCAATACATATTGTCATGCTCGAGTTTTAAATACCCTATCAATGTGAATATCAAACTTTGGGTGTTAGATATGTAAATGCATAAGAATTGTGTGGCCTGTATGTAAATTTCCAATGATACTATCGAGCTGCCAACCAATGGCATGAACATGTAATCCAAAGAAAGAAGAATTTTCATGAAATAATATCACAAATGAGCACTCAGAACACGCAACATATACATCGGAAGCAAAGTGAGAAATCCAATGGGGCTAGCCACGAAGGAAGAAATAAGCTAAAGCTTGCTGACATGCAAGACCTAACAAAAAAACCAACAAGGTGAGTTAAATGTGACAAAAAAGATGGTGAAAATTACTTGCTTAGCAATCAAATCATTCCTATTTACAAATCTAGCACCCAGGTGATTTCTTTTAACTACCAAACCAACGAATGTGTTTTAAGCATGCCACAATCAAATCATTGAGAATATGATAAAAAAGAAGAATATGAATAGGGGTTTTCTCGTGAATTTGATATTTTGGATGTGAGTATTGAGTTCTACCAGTGCGGTAAAACAATTGAAAACAATCAAAATTTTCAAAACTACAACCGTGAAATAATGTCTCAAACTCATTATAGAGCAACATAAGCAAAGGAATTCAAAAAAATCTTGTCAGCACAATAAAGAAGTGAACTTAAAATTTCAAACCGATGAAGACGTGTTCTCAGGAGAATGATTCATAAATAGTAGAAACTAGTGAAAAGGACTTAATCAAAGAGGGAGAATCCCATATCCTCATCACTCTCTTCCTTTTCTTCCTTCTTTTCCTCAGCAGGAGGTGCCTCAGGAGCTGCAGCAGCACTGCCGCCATGAGCAGATACAGCAGCCGAAGCGCCACCGCTACCAATGAATGCGCCGCCTCCACCGCCACCAATGATAACCTGTAATGAAAATCAGAGAACATGATCAAACATTTTCTGTATAAGAGCATGTGCACTAATTTAAAAAACTACTAGCAAGATAGCACTCAAGTCTAACATATTCATATATCTAATACTTGGATTTCAAATTTGACATACACGACACGATATCTGTGCATTTAAAAGTATATTTAACTTCTTAAAAGTTAAAATGATGGTATTTTTTTATGTGACATGAAAGATTTTGGTTTTCTACGAATAAAAAGCAAAGTTTAGGTGTTAGATATGTATATACATTGGAATTGGGTGGTATATATGTAAATGCCCCAACCTTATTATTCTTAGATTAGAAACACATGAGGGTTCCTAGAAGAGGTGAAAGAACACAGACAAGGGGTAGATATGTTGTAGGATGGGCAAGGAGAAGTGAGAGAAAGAATGCCGGATGAACTCTGGCGTGAAAGGGGCGGCTTGACAGCGCGGCTTGACAGCAATCTGGAAGCTCTGGAAGCAAAAAAAAAAACAGCAATTTTCTGCTGTCAGACAGCAGTGGGCAGCATGTGTGAAGATGGAGGATGCAAAATCTGCTGTCGAACAGCTGTTCTGACTTGAAAGAACGATCAAATGGCAAAATAGCGAAACGGCAAAACGCAATAAGGCTAAACAGCGAAAAGCGAAATGGTCAAACGGCAAAATGGCGAGGTATGGATGGTGAGAAGAATCCACCACATATTCTTGAGCAAAATACCGGCACATCACTCGTAAAAAGGAAGATGATACAACACTCTAAAGAGTATAAAACATATAATAAAGTTTCCAAACAAAAAAATAGATATTAGTCCCCAATCAGCCAAAAAACACACATAAATTGTCTCCTACAAAATACCCTAATTAGAAATAAGGAAATAGAAAAGAAATTTAAAAAAAACAAATTGGGCTGAAATTAGGAATCGGGAGGGAACCTTCGTTTGGAACTGGTGATCGTAGGAATTCCCACAACCCTACGAAAAGCGAGATCAATACCGAGCCATGCGAGATCGCGCAATCCCCGCAGAAAGCTCCCACGTCATTCTCCTAGGGTAAGAGATGTCTCCTCTTAATCTATGTAAGAACCCGGATCCCACCGTCGGATATTCACATAGAACACCTACATAAATTTCCAAAGTTGTGGTTCACCACTTCTGTCTGACAATCTGTTCGTGAGTGCATTGTTGAACTGAATTGAAACTTAATATAAAGCTTATACAATGAAATCTTCGAAAAGTAGCTCAGAAACTCATCTCTATCTGAAGCGATGATAAGGCTCTGTATTTGGTATCGATTACTTGAACTCATCTTCTTGGACAACAAATGCTATTATTGTTGGTGCGCTTCTCTCAAGACCAACAAAAATATAGTTTGTAGCACCACATCCTCAAACTTTGTATGAACGTTGAATTATCTATAATATAATTCCCATATTGGTGAAAAAATGTGTTATTTTAGTAATCATGATATGAGCAATGACGTACTACCAAAGATGACCAATTAGAACATGACATGCATTCATAAGTACTACGTCACATGACAACTCGAATCGAAAAAAATCAGATTCATATTGACCCCCGTAATTTTTGGGGTGAGTTTGGGTTATGAATCCTAACATGTTAGTTTTTCTAGTCGGGTTCGAGTTGACCTACCAACCCTAAATTGGGTATGGATATGATATCGATGCGCTGTCTCTCTACCTTCAAAGCTAAAATCTGGACTTCCTATAATATCCAATAGAACTGTAATTGTACCACATTGCCAATGGACAGTCTCACTCCCCAAGCTATCGAGCAATGGTGTTCCCTTCGAGCTCCACTAGCTTGTACTAAAATATAAGACGCTTGAACTCAATGATACTTCACGGAGAGATCTTTATGTTGAAAGTGATGATATCTTAAGAACACATTTTATCGATAATATGCTAGTAAGTACTTGTAATACATTTCCTTTTTTATCTTGAGCCAGGTAATAATTTTATTTTTTCTCTCGCACTGGCATAAGCATTTAAAATTTTCCCATCATAAAGATGCGCTCTTCTATAACTTAATGACATCTAGTTTTACCCTCATGTAAAGTGGGATGTTCTTGTACTTAAATACTCATTCTACTGTATGAAGTCGCTCAATAAACTCGTTCGGATCTATGCAACCATTAAAATATGATAAATTCAACTTTAATCCAAAATCAACATCTATTCTATACTCAATGTTGAATCCACCCAGCATCGGCTCTTCATCGCTCGAAGCTTCTTGGTGGAAAAGGTTTTCTTCATCTTCTTCATCTAGGTGGTCACCATTATTGCTATGGGTGACATTCAATATTATCTTCTTTCAAAATCAACGAATCTTCGCTGCAATCTGATGCATATCCTCCATAATGATCTCCTTAACACCCAGTTAAGGAGTTTTCATTGGCGATACTATGTTCTCTTCTACCCATCAATTTTACTGGTTATAGGACTGTAGATCAAATGTTAGGGGTTTGGGGCAAACTTCAAGATAGATTTTTGGTAAAAATAGGAAGGTTAGCATTTAAAAATATTAAATTTAAGGCTAGAGTTGTGATAGAAATTATTAGGTTGTCAAGTTAGTCAAAGGTTTAGGTTATGTAGATTTTTGGTTAAAGCGTACAGATGATAAATTTGTAAAAATTTATAGTTTATTGAGCTCTAATATCAAATGACACCGTTTTATAGCTCCTAGAAATTGTGAAAGAATTAAAAAAAATGGATATGTATGTTGTAGAATGGGTAAGTAAAGTGGGAGGAAGAATGTCGGCTAAAATTTGATGTGAACAGCAACTTGACGGTGTATTGGAAGCCAAAATTTTTTTGTTGTCAAACAACGGTTGGCAGCAAGTATAAAGACAAAGGAGCCAGAATCTACTATTGAACGGCAAATTCGAGCAGTTTGATGGCTCTCCATACTAAAAATAACAGTCAAATGACAAATCGGTGAGGATCCATCACTTATTACTGAGCAAGATACAGACACCACTTATAAAAGAAAGATGATATAGCAATCCAAAGAGCATAAAACGAAGAACAAAATCTTGCACAACAACATTAGCCAAAAGTTCTCAAACAACAAAAAACATAAATAATCTCCTAATAGAAAATATCATAATAAAAAATAAAGTAATAGGAAAGAAATTAGAAAGAGGAAAAAAATTAGGCTGAAATAAAAAATCGGGCGGACACCGCCATCAGCACCCGCGATTGCGAGATTTCTGGCACCCTTGTGGAACACAAGATCAATTCCCCGTCATGCAGGATAAAGGGTTCCCCACGGAAAGCTCCCATGCCATAGGAACCATATAATGCACACATAAAAGAATTCAAAGGTTATATATGGAAAAAAATTTAATTAGAAAGTGAGTTTTGTTTTCGTACTTTTAGTATTTTTTACTTTCGAAGAAATTTTGATGACGTATGTGGAGTTTGTAATCAATATTGATGTTAATATTATACAATCAAAAGCTAAACCAAGAGAATTCATAGTATTGTGCAATTAAAAGAAAAGAAAATTATAAGCAGTATGAGTTTCCAGTCCTAACATATCAGGTTTATGTGCTACAAGTAAAGCAGCTTGTCAATAACCTGAACTTCAAAGTAAAAGATTCTTTTAAAATAGCAAGGTCTTCATTCAACTTCAATGAATGTGTGACCGAAATACATCCTTTCTTCTTATTCACACTTGAAAACATATATTACATAAAGGGATGTCAAAATGGTTTGGTTGTTAGCGAACAGCTCACGTTCAGCTCAAAAATTAGCTCATGTTCGATTTGCTCATTAAGTAAAGGAAACAAACACGAAAAAAATTTTTACACTTGATTAGTAGACGAGCAAAACACAAAATAAATGTTTGTATGATCTTGTTTGGCTTCTTCCTGGCTTATAATTAATAAATTAAAGTGTTTTTAATTACATTAATATAATTAAAACATCTTAAATTTTAAAAAATTATGCTTTTAATAAATCTTTTTATAGTATATTAATAATAGTCATTTAGCTCAAAATTTAAACTCTAATATTAAAAACATATATATAAATATATACAAATAATAATATAAGCTCTAACACTAATCGATCTAGCCTAAACCAACCCTGCAACAATCTATACTTTCGCTGCCACATTATCTCCATTTGTTCCACCCTGCTTCGCTCTATACTTTCGTTGCCTTACCTCCATTTGTTCCATTTGTATATTTTCTATCCCTAGAGGCAAGAGCGAAAAAACTTCAAGGGTTTTCCTTTGGTCTCTTCGTGAATGCCTCGTAGTCATCAAAGGTGCCTTGAGAAGCTATAATCTTCTCTAATTAGTATTTGGTTGTCTGGCTTCATCTTTGTTGTTAAATTTCTTTTGTTCTCTAATTGTTTATCATCTTTCTCCTCGATTTTTTACATCTTATCTCTACATTATATGGTGTGGTTGTCTCATTGTCTTAATAATTTTTTTTTTAAAATCTTTATAAGATATGTTTTCACATATATATTGTGGTGGTGTATTTGTGTTGGATCAAGCTGCTTTGAGGGTATTCGTTCAATTTTTTTTTTAGGTTTATTGTGCTTGTGAGTTTTTTTTATTATTATTTATTTAGTGTGTTGGGTTTTTTGGATTAGTCCGTTTTAGGGATTTTCACCTTTGGTGTGCTAGTGTTGGATCAGCACTGAGTTGTGACTTCACTGGCTTTTCGAGTTCGCTATCTCTGAGTTTGTGACATGCAGATTCACCTCCCTGATTTAGGGGTTTTCATTTTATTTGGGTTTATCAACATTATCTATAATTTGTGAGTAGTGAGTTGTGAGTTGTGACTTCAATAGATTGGAATGATGTGAGTTGTGGCTTCTGAGTTGGGAATATCGTGGATTTGCGGCTAATGAGTTATGAGTTTGTGACTTCTCTCTTTTGAGCATTATGTGCGAGGACTGAGGGCTAAGGATTGGTGAGTGATGACTGAGCACTAAGTTTGTGACTTCACGGCCAATTGATCACCTCTAAGCCTCCACTTTATCCTATTTCTAGTCTATGTATATAGCATTTGGCAATTAGCAGTTGACAATATGGTATTTAGCATATTTTCTTGCCACTGATTATGGTAATTTAACATATTTTGGTAGAATATTATTGCATAATTCAGCCTCCACCCAGTTGCTTGAAAGCTATATTTATTGTTACATACGTGAAAGTTGCATATATACATTTTATTTGAATTTTTTTCTACCAAAAGCAAGAATATTGGATGTTTTATTGGCTAGCTGAGTGTTGGGTTGATCTAGAACTAGAACATATGAATTATGTAACTCTTTTTATTTAGTGTTTTCATGCCAACTTTAGCTGCAAAGACCCGCTTATAACCAATAACTTTCTTATCAAAAGGTAGTTCAACTAGTTCCCCAAGTTTCATTTTCAGTTAAGGCATTCATCTTATCAAACATTGTTGCCCGCCACCTAGAATGGTATAAAGCTTGTTGAACAAATCGTGGAACCTTAACAGAATCAAGAGCGGTAACAAACGAGCAAGAATTGGAAGATAATTGAAAATAGTTAACACAAAAAGAAATGGGACAAGAGCAGTGGCATTTACCTCTTCAAATAGCAGTAGGTATATCAAGGTCTTGGGAGGATGATCCATTAAGGAAAATGATATTGGTGGAACGAGGTCTTCTTCTCGAGTAAACAAATGTGATAGGTGGTATAGGTTGAGGCATTGAAGGTGGAGCTGGAGTAGAATATAAAATTATGACGTGAACAACTCATCAAAGTCTTATGAGGATTTAGGCGCCAATGAGTCACAATAAAATGAGATTGTTTGTGAAAGGTGACATCAACAAAAATCATGTACATGTTTAAGAGGGGAAAAGCATCGATAGCCTTTCTACATACAAGAATATCCTAAAAAACACATACTAACGACTTAGGGTCCGATTTAGAATCTTATGGATGAGTAACAGGAACAAAACAAGTACACCAATATATGTGTGGTTTAATAGAAAATAAAACTTGATAGGGCGTTTGATTCTTTATAACAGTAGAAGACATATGATTGATAAAAAAACATGCAGTAGAAATTGCATAAGCTCATAATTTCTTAGGCATATTCAATTAAAATAAAAGAGCTCTAGTCATCTCAAAGGATGCTTATTTTTTATCTCAGCTACTCAATTTTTGGATGAAGTATCAACACGGGATAATTGATGAAGATGTCTATTTTTAGGCACTTTCGTTTAAAAGAAAAGAGCTCTAACGATCTCAAGAAGATGTTCATTTTCTTTTCTCGCAGCTACCAAATTTTGGGATGGAGTATCAATACAGGATAATTTGTGAAGTATCTTGTTTTATGCATGTACTTCTAAAAGGGTACATAAAAATATTCTTTGGCATTGTCACTTCTCAAAATCTTAGCCGAACATTGTATTGAGTTTTAATTTTGACACAAAAGAATTGAAAATATCATAGTAACTCAGCATGAGATTTCATAAAAAAAAAGTCAAATTATATGAGAAAAATCATACATAAAAATGACAAAATATCTAAATTCATTAAATAAAATGGGGCAGGGTAATCCCCACAGATCAAAATGAACCAACTCAAAACGATGGCTTATTCTTTTAATAACTCTGAAAACATAATACAAATGATAGCTTTTAACAAATGACGCAACTCACAATCTAAAGATGATAACTTCTAAAACTGATAGCATAGCTTTTTCAACATTGATAGTAATAGATGTCTTAATCGACAATGAATCTTAAAAAGAGATAAGGTGTTGGAATAGGCTACGGATCAACGTACTTCATTATCCAAAATGTATACCACTCTCCGTTCTTTTCATTAACCAATAATCTTCTTCATCATAATATCATGGAATAGAAAATGAACGAGGAAGAATAAAATAAAATAATTAAGAGTGCATGTAATTTTACTAATGAAAATATAATTAAAAGCAAATTGAGGTAAATTGAAAATAGAAAGAGACAATATGGGTGTAATATTTATGGAGTTAGAACTAAGGATATGAGAGGTAAATTCATTGCTAAAGTGATAGAAGACAGGTGCTTATGAAAGATAGAAAAGAACTTTGGATTACCGGTTTTGTGATCTTTAGCACCATAATCAATGACTCATTATGTGGAAGAGAAAAGAAGACAAGTATCATTGTTATCTAACTCGAAAAGAACAGTGATAGATGGGGATTTCTTCGATGCTTCCTGAAATTTGATAAACTTATTAACATATTCATCTACAGAGATTAAGAGTCTAACTCGAAGATGCCTCATTAGTAGTGACCATCTAAGTTGATTGTGATCTAGCTTTTTGAGCAACTTTTGATATGTTCTCTTCATATGACTAGGTTCATGACAATAATACTCTACTACCTTCGACCATTGATTTCCAAAATTTCAAGTTTAACTTCTGTAATTGTCCTGAGACAGAAGTTTACTAATGTTTCTATTTTTTCTGACTAACAAGAGCACTAGTTTGTTGCACGGATAACACCTGAGAACTCGAAATCTTATGCAATACTGTAGTATAAATTTCCCTTAGAATAGCACATTCAGAGCTAGATAAGATTTGTGATTTGACAGTTTAATACTAAGAGTTAGAGATCATCTAGAAAACTCATAATAGTCATTTATTCACTTTAATTTTGTGAATATGGACATTAGTACTTAAGGGCATTAGTTCATTCAATTCTTCATACAAGCATTTAAATTGCATGTGATATACGTTAAGTGATTGATCATGTTGTTGAGCTCATATAACTAATTGCATTCATCAAAGATTTAATTAATATTCTCTCTCAAAATACAAAAGCACTAATACGTCCGTCGCATCTTTAATATAGTCACGAGTAATATGACCAGATTGATCAAGTTCTATAGTCTTGTATTTGTATCGATAGTGGCATTTAATCTCATTCACTCAGAAGAATTCAACTCAATCTCAACTGGGGGATCATCAATGAGGTGACTCTCTTGAGAATACTCCTAAAATAGAGTATCACAATTTTTTAAGTAAAAATAATTGATGCCATTTAGCTTTTTGTTTTTAATCTTAGCCACTGATAAAATCAAATTTATCATAAGGTGTTTGTATTTACCAGCCATAACTGATGTCATTAAGTGTTGAAGGAAGAACTGCCAAAGCACTAGCAGACAAATCACTCGAATGATCGTCAAATAAGAAGGCAAAGCCATATGAAAGTCGAACACAACAAGCAAAAAAATTGATCTAAGCAGAGGAAGCATACAGTGGAACACAACAATCAAGGAAATTAACCTAAGCGGACGTAGGCTTCATTGACGCCTTAATCTTGTCAACGTAGATCAGGTGGACAAAGCATATGCAGACAAATGACAATAAGATGTAGACGATGCTTCAAGATAAATGCAGATGACAAGGGTAAAATCAGACGAAATCGAAGGTTAGGTCAACGCATATGGTGTAGTTCGAAGCAGTCGAATTTCAGGAAGTGGATGATGATGTCAAGACAGAACGAGCCCGAGCCAAAGACGATGACGTTTCAGGAAGCGAGATGTCAACGAATTCGGAGCAAGCCCGGGGTCACATATGAATAAGAACAATTCCCAAAGGCTAATGTCAAGGACGAAGGACATGCGAGAACGATGCTACGAAGCTTTGATACCATATGAAAAAAAAATTCCTTTATTTTTAATTTTCTTCTTATTCACATTTGAAAGTTTATATTACATTAAAAAAATCTAATAAAGAAATTATCTTAATTAGATCTCCTCTAGGTTATCTAATATCAAATTTCCTAATATACAAGATCCAGATTTATGACTTTCAATGACATAATGGAATAAGCTAATTCTACTTTGACATGAAAACAAGCAGATTAGAAAGCTATAATATTTTTCTGAACCATTTCCTAAAAAATATTTTGAATTATGTAGGCAAGAAGTTGAACTTAAAAATATAAACTTTAATTACAATTAAAATATTTAAATGCGGGAAACAATCATCACCATAATTACCATTGATTTCCTAGTTTTAAGCACACTGCTTTGAAAAAACTACCATCACACAATTCAAATGTATGATGATGTTACTTTAATAAATACAAAAGTTTTCTACTAACAATTCTACCATCACATTTCAGAATCATAATAGTACATTTCAATTGTAAATCAAATTATCAATATCAAATAAAAAAAAGCATTTAGCTGGTTTTTGGTAGCATCCTATTAATTGGATTTAGCAATAGTTTTCACGTAAATTCAGTCAAACACCTAAAAAAATAAAAATTAAATCTAATGCTCCGTTAAATCTAATTTTCTGGCTTTCTGTCTTTCTCTTTACATGTTCCTTCACTTATAAGACATAAATCCAAATTTAGTAAATCCGATTGAGCGGCAGACGAGCAGAGCCATTGCAGTGTGGATTTGATAAATCCGAATTTATCGGATTTGATAAATCATATTTAATGTAAATCCAATTTGCAGCCAAACACTGTCTTAGTTAGGTAACATGATGAGTTTATATTCTCTAAGGAAACCCGGAAGCAAAAAGCAATCTCTAGTTTTTGAATGCAGCTTCATAAAAAGTTCTACAAAATAAAAAAGATCATTTGGAAGCCTTGTATCTTAGAATTTCATGAAATCCATAGTCAGATAGGTTTTCTGAATATATCTTAAAGTAAGCAAATCAGAATTTAAAAGTTTTAATCCCCATAGCCTTAATACATCAAAAAAATTGCTAAATACTCATTTAGGTGATTTACAAAATTATCAATGGATCCAAGCAGTCCTAACAAATGCGTCCCCTTATCTACAATCAAAGAAAATCAGCCATTAAAAAAAAAATCAACGTTCAATCAAGAAATTGGCAGAAATAATATTCTAACAAGACGAACAGGGAAAACTTAGAGCCCCCTGGCAGAATCTCTGAGAAAGGGATTAATTAAACCGCTAGAGAAGGAGAGAGACAGAGAGACGATATAAGACCTGAAAAACAGCAGAAGAAGGAGTGACATATGAGAAAGAGGACTGCACGCCGCCGGATGAATCCGTAGCCGCCGCAGCCCGCACGAGATTCCGCTGGAGTTCGTACGTCGACGAAGCCTCCCCTTCAAGATCACCAGTAGTCTGCTTAGCGCTCCACACGCCGCCTGAGTTTCTGCAGACGAAAGTGTACACGCCCATTGTGACCTAGAAAGAACGAAACGCACGGAGGATAAAACCCTAGTGGCACAGGGGCCCTAAATTTATAGTGGGAAGATGTCGAGATCGACTAACAAAATAAGGGAAATTAATTTATATATATATATA